TGCTAAAACCAGTTTTTGAAAAAATCGATTTTGTTTTATTGTTGAAATTTAAAAATTAATTATTGTAGAGACTACATTTTTCACCAAATATTTATGTTAACATTTTCTAGATGAGATTTTATGCTATTCATAGATATATCAAAATTAAAAAATTAAATTATTTTTTGTTCAATTGATGGCTACTAAAATTATGTCAGTGAATAAAATGCATGGAAATAAATACAAGGTTTCTCATAAGTAGTTGGTTCTTGCTGCAATTAACTAAATATATCAAGAATTCAGTCTCAGTTATTTTTAAAGAGTAGTTTAAACCTACAACATTACAAATCAGACAATGTTTCCTAACTTTTATTTTACGACAAAGTACTTAAAAATCACGAAAATGTGCGAATTATTTTAAGTTAGAAATTCATTACAATTTTTCTTTTTAAATCTAAGATTTCAAAATTAAATACAAGATGCCTCATAAGTTTATCTAACTTTATCAAAAAGAAATGTCTTCAAGAAAGTCAAATTAAATAATTTGTATGAGCATGAGCGTTTGAAGATCAAATTATTAAAACATTGGATATTCACTCGATTTATCATGGAACGATTGTCCTATTTTGTTGTAATTCAAAAACGAATAACTGTAGGTACTTGAAATTTATATCAAATGTTTAGCTGGAAAATTTTAGTTTTGAATAAAATGTATACCTACTTAAAATTATAATAATAATTGTTACATTTTTGGGAACATAATGACTTTAGTGTGTACCTAACGGGTATCGGGGTATGTAGACTGTGTATTAAATATTAATTAATAATACTATTTGTATATATAATCAATGGTATAACATTAATACATGATGTACAATATGAATTTGATATAGGCGTATTGTACTTTAAAAACACTTTTTAATAATAGGAGTATTATCCAATAAAGTTCAATTCTTTGTTGGGCTCTTAGAAAAATAATTCAATATTTAATTTTCTGCAGAATTATTGATATTTGTTTTGTTAGACCATTTAGAAAAACAATTATTTAATACATCAACAGATTGATTGTTATTACTATTAATTTTTGGTGCACTGTCATCTTCCACATTAGAAGACTGGGAAAATTCATTAACTGCCTTTTAGACTGATTAATAGATATTTTTCTTTTAACATCATTTTTTATCCAATCGGTTTTTAAAAAAATGGCTGAGATATGGCAGCAATTATAAAAAATGAGCCAGTTAGTTGAGTTTCAAATCTTTTTTAACATTGAAACAAATTATATCAACTAATGATCTACAAAACTTGAAATTTTTATTTATTTTCATATTCTCATGCTATAAATAAGTTAAGAAATGGATGGGATTCAATAACCATAATACACGAACATTAATCCTCGTTGCAAAATATCTAAGCACACAGCTAATGGTTCCATCACTACTCAACTAGTAAAAGGTCTATGGGCTATGGCTAATACTATATTTTATGTTTTTAATGACCACTATACACAGGATTATAATTAATAAACGAAAACATTTTTTTTTTAAATTTAGTATTTAAATATAAAATAAAATTAATAAAAAAAGATATTCAGGATACGTATTCAAATATATATTTTTTAATGTATTTAAAATAGTATTCAAATACTTACATTCGAATACTTCACAAGACTAAGTATTACCTATACTTACATGCGCTACATATCAAAAATATTTTTAAATATACAGGCAAATAAGGAATACCAATGTCTTGAAATAAAAAAAAGATATGGACCAAGGACATCAAAGTGATCACCTTATGTCTTATGGTCACAAGAGCAATGAGTAAATTTTTACTAGCGAAACAAGAGAATAGAGCATGGGAATTTTGTAGAGAAAATTTCCTTATGTATAATACAATGAATATGTTGCATGAATTAAAATCTCTATACGCTAAGTATTTATGTGATCTGGGATTCATTAAAACTCCTAGTTATACCGACTGAATACAATCAGAATTCAAACAATATTAAGCTTTTGAAAGCCCCAAAATTTAAACAAATGGCCGTAAATTTTCAAAATTCATTACTGCTGAAGATGGAAAAGTTGAAATTCATACCAAGTCTGTGAATTCAATTGATAGTTACTATGAGAGTCCTTTATTATTATACCACACAAAACTGAAGACTACTTCAATATTTTTGCACGATACCACTATGATTTATCCATTCCCAGTGGTGCTGTTTGCAAAATATCTTAAGACGACTGGTGAAAAAACTGATTATGTTACATTTAGTCTTAACCCTCAAATAAATTTCACCTGTTGTGCTAGAACAATAAGTTTTATAAAGGTGATTTTAAAATTTTGAATTATTAATGATTTTGTAGATTTAATGATTGTGTGACATTATTGAATTGTATTGGATAAATTAGTTTATTATAATTTTATATCTATTTTTTAAATATTTTAATTAATTGTTGAGTGATCGATTACATGATTATGTTACTATGTTAGTCCCAATAATTAACTGACTATTTTTTCAATAATTTTTATTCGCGTTTTTTTAAATATTATATTATAATTGATAATTCAGTTGCATATTATATTTTTGTATAATGAATGTATATTATAGATGAGACTTAATATAACCAACTAAACAATATGATAAACTAATTTCTGATTCAATATAAAATTTAAATTAAATTTGTAATGGCCGGTAGAAAATTAAACCGATAGTCGGTTGAAAAATATACCAATAATTGTGATTTTTAGATTATTTACGTCTTTTATATATTTTTTTTCATTAATCGTTTTAAGGTATCATCAACTGCGTGATTATTAGTCAGCATTATATTGCACTACATTATATTTGTAATATTCCCTAAATAAACTTTAAATCCTGAATAGTGCCTAACTATTTAAAAATAAAAAAACAATAATTGTGATTTGATATTAATATTATTATCTTATGGATAATTTCCATATTTTATTTATATTCACTAGTTAATAATTAAATGTGGTTCAACATAGCTGAATATGTATTGGTATTAACCACGGACAAATTAATATTGAATTAATTACCTTTTATTTTTATATTTTTTAGTAAGTAAGACATAGATTGAAGAGGTTGATTGCCCATTTAATGTCGCATCCTGAAGAAATAAGTTTTAGTTCAAATTCAAGCAGTGGAAAAGCGCTCGAGTAAATATTAAAATATTCAACAAATTATATTATATACTTCAATAACTGATAAAAAAAAATGTATTGTCATTGATGAATAGTTAACTATTTATTTAGTTGTATACATTTAAATTTAGAAACTGAGTATAAATATATACGTACCAGGTGATCCATTTAAGTATTCATTATTTTGAAGAGTTTTAACTTTTTAAAAATATTCTTTGTCTAACTAATAATAATTCAAGTAAGTACGTATAGTAATAACAATAATTAATAAATGTGTACAAATTTGTATTAATGTATTAATTGTATATATATAAATAAACTATCATAGACGTATATTCAACACTTTTTTTATAAGTCAATGTTAATTTCGTTATTTAAAATAGACTAGAAAAAACTATAGTACTTACTATATTTTTATAATATTATTATGGTTTATCTTAATATTAAAAAAAAAGCGAGATGTAAGTATGTAACTATATAAGACCGTGATCGTGTTTATTATAATACAAGTTATGTATTCTATAAATATGTTCATTATTGAAAGTACGCTTCACCGGTCACCCATACTAATTAATATAATAATATAGAATGTTTCCATAATTATTTTTTCTGTTAATGGTCACATTGCATCTTGTCTGTTTGTGCCTCAAGCCCTCAAGTTAATTAAACATTGCCACCTCTATATTCTTATTACTCTATGGGTTGACCACACACCGGTAAAGCAATATTGACTGAACACATTTCAGTCATTATGATACCTAAGTAATTTTGCTTTTTAGCCATAACTCATAATAAAGGATTATGACTGCAAAACTGCTTGAAACAAATTGCGCCATTTTGCTCCAAGTTGACTTAGTCACTTAGTTGTAATAAACTAGCACAATATTTAGTGGCTGCTGTATCTTCTTTTCTAGTATTTATGAATTCATTACAAGACTATTTACAAGCAAGTTACAATTAAAAATGTATGCACACTTCCAAACTCGAATATCGCTGTTAGGTAGGTACCTATCAGTTTTTGTTAATGAATTGAAACTTTGTTTAAAAAGTTCAAATTCAAACCCAAACCAATAGTTTGAGTAATCTGACACATGAGAAACTCCGGTAGTCCGGTTATGCTTGTCATGATGACAGGGGGTTATTTTGAACTTCGGTTTTCCACGACTCTAACAGTCTAGCCGGCGTAACTATTAAGTCCTAAAGTTACATCCATGTTATAAACCACACGGAATCATGTACAGAGAAATAGTGAATATACTGTACATAATATATCTGTGGAAGTATGGAATCACCAAAGATTGTTCACTGGCGATGCCGGATGTAGCTAGCATAGCTTATACAATTACCTATTCAAGTACTGTCTAGTGTGTGTATATTTCAGCCTTCAGGTATGTTTACCTAGAGAGCCTTAATAATAAATTAAGGCTCTCTGTGTATACCTATTAGCTATATTTAATTATTTTATATATCGTTATATGTGTTACAAGTGTCACTACGAAACATTTAAGTCGACGCTCGTATAGTAATTTAGTAGTGATACATAGCCACACAGGTAATAACCAATAATATATAATATAAAGAGTAGGTAATGAAGTTTATATTAAAGTATTAAACAAATGCACACAATAAAATATATACATGCCAACATAATATAAAATATAATAACAATATAAATATGTACAAAAAAATAAAAAAATAATAGTATAATAGTTGGATATTATACATCTAAGTAATACATAGGTATATATCTATAATGTAAAAGTGACGTGATTATTTTACATAGGTATATTATGGATAGGTACGAATGTTTTATTTTTTATTTGGTATCGTGGAACCGTAGTTAGAGGTTATATGTGCTATAACACCTATAACAGACCGACGTTTTCGCATTGATTGCCCAAATATACACAATTGTTTATAATGAAAAAAAAAAAACATTTAATATTTGGTTATCTAACAATGTGGTTGCAGTTTTCAAAGCACATTATGATATCATGTGAATATGATTGTATAATATGGGTATTCAACAGTGTTGTGCATGTATATTATAATTGTATACATCCAAACATGTATCACGGAATCCGCCAGAGTGAAAAAATACTGTTACATAATAATTTTACGAAAATTTAGAATTCCGAATAGGTAGGTAGGTACCTACGCTGAGAGCGAGAGAAAGTGAAAACATCGTGATAGTCACGCACCCGCGCAAACACATTCACACATGATAATGTGCACGGTATGATACTACGATAATATACCTTTTATAATAATGGAATAATTAATACCTGGACGAAGTAAACAATAACAATAATAACGATTTAGTAGGTACGTTTTATACCTAATAGTATATTATGTATTTATGTGTGTGTGTGTTGTGTAACGACGTGTTTTAGATAGGATTGCGACTTAAGGCCGCGGGGATTAGACGTAGGTTTAGTGATAATAATGATACTATCATATAAAGTCGTCCTTTAAAGTGTGGCGGAAATGGCAAGTGCGTTATTTAGTGCAAACGTACGAGGGTGGTGGCGGTGGTGGGCTAATATAATAATATATTAATAATAAATCGTATTTTTTCGTTATATATTAAATTTTATTTACGTTGGTCGCTAGATTGGCTGCAGTATATCTACTATTATAATATGTAAATTTTCAACAGGGCGTCTTTTTTAGATAATCAGTTTTTTTTTTAACAGCAATAATAGGTTGTTAAATATTATATATTATTATTGAAACGGACGTTTCGCATATCCTAAATTTTTTCTTATGGCAACACTAAATAATATAATAATATGTACGTTATCCTAGTCCAACGTTCGGATTTAATTAATATATAATAATAAAATAATAATAATATAATGTACAACTGCGCAGTGTGTCGGCGTGCATAACCTATAGATAATATATAAACTTGTTTTATTTGATATTGCTTGTTTAATATATTTTAATCGTTTTAATTTTTGGACCATGTAGTTGATATATATATATTAGACGACATAAGTATCGTATCGTAGTGTCGTGTCTTGGTCTTGTCTCGGGGGCAGTATTTTCCCCCGTTAGTACAGTGATCCTGGACCGCTGGGCGCACCATATCCGGTGGACGGTGATGGGGAGCCGTACGTGTCCGACGGTATTGACGGCGACGGACTGGCCGGGGGTCCATACTCTGACGCAACTGAGTTGGGGTATCCTTCTTGTTTCTGAAAATTAAAAAAGTAATATTGTAGTCGTCAAGTTGTTGGGTGTATCGAAATAACCGGTGCAAACCATTTGCGCCCATCACACCATTTTTATAACCCACTTGCGCCCGAAATCATAACCCATTTGCGCCCGAAATATTTTTAATGAAAATGTGTTAAACCCGTGCAACGTTGCCAAACTGTATTCTGGAATACCAAGCAATACTACTTATTACCATATATGAGACATATATGAGACATATACCTTATATAGTTATATGACATGTGAAAAAATCAACATTATTAATTTTTATTTAATTTTTTTTTATCATTTTTGAAATATAAATATGAACTTATTATTATATTACCTTAAGGTTTAACTTATGATAAAATATTTTTTATTATTATATATGACGTGTGAGAAAAATCAACAGTATTAATTTTTATAATAATTGCATGTACTCAACCTTATATCATATTTTCCGAAATTTTTTTTTTTTTTAATTTGAAATATTTATTTTATTTATATAATTTTATGTGAGATGAATTATTGCTACAGTAAATAATAATAAAATAAATAATAATTGCACAATTAGTAGATTATAATATAATCTACTAGGTAATCTAAATAATTTAAGTTATTTATCAAGATAAATATAATCTATAATAATATGAACCACAACGGCAACGTTGCATACGAAATGGGCGCATATGTGCTATAAATCGGCAGGTAGTACCTTATCTTTCGGGCGCATCTGTCCATATCCTTCGGGGCGCAAATGTACTACTCTGGGGCGCAAATAGGCTGTAGCCGAAATAACAATATAATATATTAATTTGAAGCCCCATATATAGACTAATCCACCTCATATTTTTTGGCTGAAATGTTGTTCGAACAGAATATTTTCGGATTTTTACTCACCAACATTTTTTTTTTTTATAGTTATACGTAATTATCGGCAGAGTGGATTTAGAAAACTATTTTTTTTACATTTTTTTCCGTGATGACAGAACGGTTAAAATGCTCGTATCTTATGTACCCGTAAATCTATACAACTGTAGTGGTTTAGCGATCACCGCCTCAACGATCGACCGGCGTGTAATATAATGTATACAGCCTGCTATTGCCACGATTACGTGAGATGCTTACCACTGATTTGACTTGTCGCGGTGAATAATAAGAATAATACAGATTTAGCCGAAAATTGGAGCAGAACCGTAAATAATATATTTATTTTTAATATCTTTAACAATTAATTGCATGGTGCTTATTGTTTGGTTGAATTGGTTTTTTCCTTGTGTCACTCCAACCTAATAATATTATAAGCGAACGAGATACGAGTGATGCACCAAATTCAAGTTACATGCTGTGTGGGGGGGAGGGGGGAAGTCGTACTAAGAATTGTTTCATCACCCCTAAAGATCAATATTAAAACAACGACGACTATGACCACTTGAATCGATAATCACCTGTGTCTTGTATCTGATGAAGTACACTTCCGGTTTGGATGGCTGCGTGGGTGCGGGCGTTGGGATGTGGATCTCGGGTGCCTCGTCCGGTTTCTTGACCAGCACGTAGATGAGCGTCTTCTGTTCGGCTGGTGGTGCAATTGCTGGTATGTCCGGCACGGTGGGTGGTGGGGGTGTGGGTGCCTTGATGAACACAATCTTGTAGTGCTTCTGTGGTGGTGGTGGAGGCTGCACAGGCTTCTTCGGAGCATAGTATGTGGGCTCTGGAGGTGGAACGTGCACGTACACGTGTTTGTGTATGACGGGCGCTTGTTGAGGTGGCCCGTATTGTGGTGGTGGCCCGCCACTCGGGTAAGGTCCACTGCTACTGCCCCCACTGATAGGAGCTGCGTAGCTGTCCAACGTGAGGCCGGGGAATCCGCCACCGCTTCCGCCGAAACCGGTCAACGGCGCTTCTGGTCGGCCCAAGCCTCGGCCCACTGCCAGCAACACCTGCGAAACACATGAACAATGTATTATCTGTTCGAGCTATATACCTGCTTCAAGACGTCAAGTAATTGAGTAGTGGTCAAAATAGGGTAGGTATCCTTCCTCTCTTTAAATTTTTATTTTCTATCTCTTCATTTATTTATTCCAAAAGCATCCGCCCCCTCTTAAACAGTTATACTTAAAAAATATAAGTGCATTATTATAGTATAGTTTTTATCAAAACTGTTTTATCATTTACAAACTAACTGTTGAGAAATAAGTAGAAGACGTTCTTTTATAATAAATATTTAGAAAATAGAAAAGTTACCTATTCAAAATACAATCAAGACTCGATTTTCGGCCTGTAGGCTGTAGCAAAGTTGTTATATGAAACTTTTTGAGATGGATTAAATTAAACATAAACCAACTATGCAACATTAGTACATCTAACGCTCGATTCTTCAGTTAGATCGACTTGTAAATATTTCCATCGATCAAAAATAGATTATGTTGTAACAGTTTTTATTCACAACGGTCGTATATTTTATTATACGTGAGCTGGTTTCGTCCAACGGTTGACGACCGGAAAATGGAAGCGATTATTATATCGTTATTATTACATAATGATATTCACATTAATACGACGTATTTTGATCCGTTCGGCCGGTGTACGAATAATAATATATGAATTGCGTGAAGACTATAATTTTATATAATAATTTTCAAAACAAATCGAAAGCGCTTGTCGAAAACATGATAATACAATAAATTATGTATTATATTATTATCGTGCTTTGTTCGTTTAAATCATTTGTCGGCAGCGAATGTTATAAAGACGCTGTGCGTTTGTGTTTAATATAATAAAACATAATAATAATAATATATTGTTATTGCGTTCGAAATTCGGGCCCGAAAATACGTTTAAGACGACGCTGAGGTCGGAAATACGACGAATAAAACATGTCGATCGATTTCCGTTGAAACGCATTTGCGTTCTTATATCATTACTCTGGGGATAATAAGATATATTATGTAATATAGTATATACCATGTTATACAATTTTATACGAGCGATTCACGTCGGGGTGTCGGACAACACTGTATTGAATGATAAATTCGATGTCCGTTTTTGTATAATATATAGAGGTTAGTACATAATAATATTATAATTTATAACAATAAAATATTTTCATTTGTATAATAATAAATTGTACCTAAGGATATCATGTATGTTTTAATAATATTATATTTACTCGTTAATCAATGAACGATGATTACCTATATGATATGGCAAAATTATTATTTTTTATCAAAAGCAGTGGCTGAAAGAAAATAATATCTGCAGCATCCACTCTTAGAATATCACTGGATTAACTTTTGAAATCGCGTGTTTCCACGTCGGCATATTTTATAATTTGACTTTAATGGTATTCATTAGATCAGGGTCTACTTTTTTTCGTCATTTTTTGGGCCTCACACATTTTAGTACGGAACATGTAGTGTGGTTTCCCCAACGACTTCGATCTTTTTATTTTATTTTCAAACTATCATAATATATTTACGGTTTGTTAAATAGTATGCAGCCTTGTTTGAAATTATAAACTATTTAAATATAATTAATTATTAGGTACCTATTAAACTGTTTAAAAACCCTTCTTAAATTGTTTTAAAATGAAAAAGATAAACTGAGAAAAATATTACTATATGATGTGTTTTGGATTACCTATATAATACCTATATTATTATGAATTATTGCCATTAATTTTTTTATCACCAATTAATGTGTGAAATATATTTTGAGCGTTGGGATGACATTTTTTTAAACCTATGTTACTACTTAGTATTAATTACAATTTTATATTATAGCACTGAACTTCAAGTTTGAAACTATATTTTCGATTACGAATACCTTCATTTTCATCATAATTAAATGACTGATAAATTATTGTCACAGCTTTGTGAACTCACGTTGATGGGGATGCTAGGCGAATTACATATCACTATGTATACATAGGCACACCATAATATGGTTAGTTCTGGTATAAGAGCGGTAAGGCTGTATTAAATGTGTGTGCATGTATTGGTGGTTATATCTCAGTTGGTAATTTATATAAATATACGACTCAACGTGAAAACTATCGATTTGATATATCATCCCTCTCGCATTTCTTTGATCCACTTCCTTTTTTCCCAATTTATCTCAATCCCGTTACTCGTACCCTACAAAACCGTGACGTGAGTGCTATATTATTTAGTATCGGAGTTCGTTAATTTTGATTTTAGTTTTTTTAACTACTTTAGCGGAACGTGCTACATAGGTATACCATATAGGTGCAGGTATAATATAACACAATTATATACTTATATATTTACACAGGTACATGGGTCTCCGTTATAGTAGTCGCTTATTTATTTGTTTTCTCATCTCAACTTGTTAGGAAAAAACGTCAAAGGAATAGAACACTGAACGGATTTATTGGAATTATTTATACTATTATAAATAATAAATTAAAATATACGAATACTCTCTTCTCGTTCCGTCCCTCACTCCACCCCCGTTCTTATCTGAAAATTAGGTACAGACACAGCATTGGTGTAGATCTTCATTACTATATAATATATCGTATATTATTATACTGTAGTACTGTACGATGATAGTTTTTCCGTGTTAGCAATATATTTATCTATGTAATTTATTCTGCAGGAAATCGCGGTGAACCATCATATACCTATAAATTATAATATATATATATATATACATATATCGATGAGGCACCGTCAAATTTATCGTTCACTCAGGATCTTCGAACTTTTCACACAGACATTATATCATCATACAGGCTGCAGACTGTAGTTATATTCACAATAAATAATACTTTATTTCGAACTTCCGAAGTACCGTCTGGTAAAGTACTATTATGAATGTTAGGATAATATATAAAATATACTTTACAAGTTATGATGTTAATTATTTTCAAAGAAAAATCGTCAAAACAACATAACAACGATTCAAGTATCAACAGCTTATGTCTATGACACGGGTATAATCGTGACGTTCTAAAAAAACAACGGGAGTATATCAAACAGATATTTTTGACTAGACCATAATATTATTGTTATGATTGTAAACTGTAAACTGCAATGCAATTGTCAACATTATGTTATTACACACTGGCGGACGCGGTCATTAACAGTAGTCAGAATCGTAAATCGACAAGCAATTATCCAAAAATGTAAATTACTACAGACTGGCCACTCATTGCAAAGATAAAAATAATAATATCTAAAAGAAAATTAATTATTAAAAGTAATTATTTAGAAGTCTCCCCGTCCCAATAATTTCTCTTTGAAGATGAAAGTTGAACACTTGAGACGAACAGTGAGGGTCTTCACCCTCTTTTTTACTGTTTTTAGTATATTATAATTTTAATTTAACTCATTATTAAACAATATTTTGTGACGTTAATACGTAATTATTTTATAAAATATTTCAAACTAGGATAGCTACTATTATTTAATCTTGAAATATTTTTTAATTAACTTAAATCTCAGGCTGCTCCTGAACATTTTAAACGCCCTCTAAACTAGGCGAAACATTGATGTACATAAATATAGCCAAATGCAAATAATCAGTACAAATAACAATAATAATAAATTAGAGTTAGAGATTTCTTGTATTAGCATATTTTTTATGGTAGTTGAAGACTATTCCAGGTATACATTTGGCGTGTAAGATTGTTGGATAAAAATTGACAAGTTCGACTGCATATTTTCGCGTATTTTATTACTTTGTGCAAAAAAGGCATATTCGACAAATTAAATAATTATTTGTATTCAATATTAGATGTACCTATAGACTATAATTTATACATAGTATACATTTTCATACATAATTTCCTTCCTTTTTTGTTTGAATTTAGCTGCATATTTTAGAGTAACTCCTGAATCTTAATTAATAATTACTATAAATAAATAAACCTTTAACCATTTAATTCATCTTTCAATTTTATTTTATCATACATTTTTGCTTGTAATTATCATTAAATAAAATAAACATGAAGTTGCATACTTTTTGGAGAATTTTTTTTGGTAATTTGAATTGCATATTCGCATGAATACTTTGAACACTTGTGGTGCAAGTTCCAAACATTGATGATAATAGTAGTAATTTATAGGTAACACATGGAATAACGCGACAATCTGCACACGTTATAATGCAATAAAATAATATTAGATATTTACATTAAACATCAGCTACCCATGAAACATATTATGATACATTTAATGGGATTCTCCAGGCGGCCTTTCCACTGCATTTTCTAAGGGTAGTTTTACCTGTTGGTTGTGACGTGCGAGCTGTAATCTGATATACGGACTTATGCTGTACATAAAAATATATCATTAGGCTATCATTCAACAACAAAAATAGTATCCGGAGCGGTGAAGTGATTGAATTTATATCCGCTATAGCCTCTCGCGTCAAGAATAAAACAATATATTTATGACACATCGTTTTTATTCACGTATTATAATAAGATGATGTTTATTTGTGTGGACAGTTTATATTGATGTGAACGAGATGGAACTTTTGAAAGCGGTTGTCGGAGACGTTTCACGCATTATCAACAAAATAAATATAAATCGTTTTCGCCACACGAAGAACAACACACTTCCGCTGCTTACTGCGATGCCGAGTTATTTCACAATAATATCGTAACGCGTATTGAACAGCAGTTTTATAAATAAAAAAAGATTTTATTCACCCGTCGATCCGTATTGATCATCAAAATTTGTATTAGTCTTATCTAAGATATTGAATTGCATACTTATTGTGATTACCCACATAAGCTTACAGATTGTCTTCGAGTTAAATGTGTGCCTATAAGTGGAAATTGACGACAGTCCAAGCAATGGTAGTCAGCGAAAATGATCACTATATACACGATTTTATCAGTGAAAAATGTTTATAACTCAGGCCATCGATATTACCGAGTATTAAACACTAAAGCATCACTTTGCTTTTA